CACCATGAATAGAGCAAATCTCTTTAATATGGCAAAAAAGCCCCTTCGAGGTTGGGAATTCACCTCATGGGTCAACAATTTACTTGTCAAACGTTCAAAATAAGAACACCTTCAAATTTTTTGATCCTAGTAAGCGCAATCCTTCTGTAAACGTGCATAGTTGGTCATTTCTTTACTTATTCTTTTTGTAAGATCTTATTTCTTCCGTTATGATGGTATTCATGATGTTTTAGCGCATCGACGACAATCCAGGATTTCGCTTCAGTTCCCTTTTTTCCCTTTTCCCTTTTTTTCCCAAAAAATTTCCCTTTTTTGGAGCCAATGTACATACTCCATCTCTTTTACCCCTTCCTGACCAATGGTTGATAAAAGAAATCATTTTCTCCATGACAACGGTAGAAAAGTTGCCGCAAAGAAAGCTCGTTCTTCATCACACTACAACCGAGATGACCATCAATCAAAAAACACCTAATGCTTTCTAGCATTTCGTTACAACGGCGTAATTGAAAACAAGTCAGGAGAGCGCATTACGGTCATGTGTTCACGCTTGGGTAGATAGCTGTCGTACTGGGAGTTCAGACGCCTTCTACACCCGTCGAAAAGTCAGCCAACATGTACTGCTCTTGCCTCTTGCAACACAGCAGCCATGAGATCGGCCAGGGTTTTCATTCGAAAGAGGAAAGATTGCAGAGAGAAGCAAGGCTGTGCACCCAGCGGCATGTCAGGGCAATATTGAAAGACGAAGCCGATAGTTTACGAAAATTGCCGATGGTATTAAAATCTAAAGTCCCGCGTCAAAAAGGGATCGGATGGTGTCGCTCCGTTAAGCGGTGCATCTCTAAAGCCAACGGCTAGAGCGTAGTAACGGGGGGGGGGGGGGTTGGCTAAAGCGGTTTAGAATGTTCGAAAAAATGGTTTTGAGTCAAGGGATGGTCATTTTTCCCACTGCCTAAATTGGTAGGAATTTAAGGGTGCGTGTAGCTCTGACCATGCGCAAAAGGATGAGTGTGGAGTCGTTTAGTTGAGCGGCTTCAGGCAAGTGTTGTTGGTGGTGCGGCCACTTCGGGAACAATTATCTTTCTCCCCATTGTCGCTTTTTTAAACAGAACTTAACTTCCCAGTTAACCCGGCATGATGATCGGGACAAACAGCGGAAGGGTTTTCTTGAAGCCAGAAATAGTAGAAGTATAGGTAATCAGCTGGCCATCAATCCTATATCGAGTGATCTCAATATAATGATGATGATCCATCTGAATAATTTTCAGATTTTTAGATAGCGTTAGTTCTCAGAGCAGGGGTGTAGATTTTGGGGAGCGAAACCGGCAACTCGTTGCAGGGAAGATATTCGTAGTTGAGCCGGTTGGCCAATATCAGCACAGAAATATATCAAGCCAATATCTATGCTGATATTCGTAGTTTTTAAAACCTTTTACGTACTATTTAAAACGAACTGGCTATCCCACAATGTTACGCAAGTGTGGCGGAAGCCACATCCAGCAGAGGTTACTCCGTCCACCATTCGACTTTTCTCTTCTCACTAACTTGATTAACTGATAGTGGCCTTTTAAAATGATTCCGCAGATTTAGCTTGCGCCTTAGTTTTACTTGAAATCGATAGGTCCTCTTTCTTAAAGAAATTTTCGTTTAGTTTTTGCTTCACTGGAGAATCGCTCAGGTGTGGCTGTGTGAGCGACAAGGCTAAAACATGCTCACGGGTAAGAGCAAGGAACAGTGGAGATATCACAGCTTGCAAACTCCATGGTAAGCCGAAATATATTGTTTGTAGTTCAATGAAAACTAAATAGATCGCAGAATTCAATAATTTGTGGTCCAGTATAGTGCGCTGGCAAAGGTACTCGCATAATTTGATTGTATAGCTTTTTAAAATTTTAGAATTACCTCCGTTTAATTCCCTTCCTTATTTGCGGAGAATCATAACCAGCAAAGGCATTATTCACGGTAGAAACCATTCGAGCTGTGAATAGCTTGTTCCATGTTGAAATACCTATTGGGCTGTCACGCTAACATGTGCATTATATGAATGTCTACGAACGCTCATCTCCGATGGAGTCATTCAGCGGAATGTTGAATCATCAGAAGTAAGATAGTTCTTATTAGATTTAAAAAACGCTGAACCGCTTTAAGGGCATCCCGCTCGATAAATCCCAACTGAGCAGAATTATTAATGTTCGGTCATAGCCCGTCCACTCTTGTGCAAACTCGGCCCAAGTCAGAGATACGACTCCTCTTTCATAACAGTTTACAATTTTTGATCTTAGCCCCGCCCACCCTAGCACAAGCCCCACCCATTTCGAAAACTTGACCGCATCTCTTCTGTTACCTCCAACTACTCTTTTTCCGCGCTCTAGTGAGTTTTTGAACTGAGCCCGCCCACCTCGGTGCAAACCACTCCCACTCCAAGGATTCAGCTCATCCCTTCCATTACCTCCACACGTTTCCGCGTTATAGAACGTCTTTGAGTAGAGTTATGTGTTTTTTCAAAAAGGCCCTAACCATTAAATGCCCCCCCCCCCTCCATTATAGCATAGCTTCGACATGTTAACGTACCCCCTAGCACGAATAATGCCTTGCTCACTTCGTTTATTTTTTTCTGGCCTTCACGCTTCCGTTGTATCGAGTGTGATCTTATGTGGCAAGTACCGCCCACTGCGAGGAGAGCGCCCCGCCCACCGTTGGTGAGTCTCTTTCAGTTCACCTGTTGACCCGTCCCTCACCCCGCCCATTTTTGCCAGGCGTCCGGGCTCTTATGAAATCTAATTTGACATTTTTGCCAAAACACCGCCCACTGTCATGCGTGCCCCGTCCCCTGGGAGCGGAGTTCCGCTAAGCTCACATGTGCTCTGTTGATCTTGTTATCCCAACCCATTCCGAACTTGGCCAGAGTTCAGGTGTTTCTTCAGTTAATATCGAATTTCCGTACAAGCAAGCAAGCAAACAAACAAACAAACAGACAGACAGAGATACAGGCGTGAGCGCTTTACATATAGTAAGGATATATGCTGACCACTACAACATCCCGGTTCACCGCACAAGCTCTTCTCATTTTCAAAATACCGCTCCTTCAACGAACGAGGTATGCCCAAAAAACAGCAATTTTATGTGTAATAAGGGGCGAAAATGATTAGTTCATGCATTAGAAAACGGGATTTACCAGATACAACAACAACAAATATCAATCAACGTGTATGTATATCAACAAAAGGCTTAGAATTTGAATCAATGTAAGAGAATACTTTGGGTAAACTTGTCAAGCACTTGCAAATCCATCAAACAATCGCATACGATTAGCACCAACTCTACTCTGTGGGCATTTTGAAGTGTTCTCTATTGGATGTAATGTAACTAACGCCCAAATGAACCGAATCAGCCAAGAGGTGGCCAGTGAATATTGCCTTTAAGGAGAACTGTATGATGGCTTGAGCGGAAAGGGCAAATGGAATGATACGGCTCCGGCAAAAGGTTCTGGATCTTCAACTGATCGGGCTACCACTGAAGGTGATTTACAAAAAAAGGTTTCGTAAAAGGCTATCGCCTCAAAATGGAGTTTGATTGAGGTGGAACCCGTGAAGTGGTCGATCCTGGTCGGAGTCTGTGGCGGGTCTATGACTCTGCTAATATTCACTGAAGATTTCTGCAGGCTTTTTTTCTCAGTATATTTGAAACAAATATTTTCAGCTCCCATTAGGGTACCTCTACCCATGATACGATCCCTAAGCAATACTTCATTGTCGGTTGTTGTGGATCGATTCTTCAGCAGAGCACCGTTCGACGCTTTAAGTCCACACAGGCTCATGTTGTTAGCGGATTTTATGACGAAGGTGAGACTGAGTTCAGGTCGACCCTTCAAGAAGTAGTTTGGAAATAGGCATGGGTAACGTCATGATAAATACGGCGGTACCCTTTTTTTGTTGCCATTTTGGAGCTGTGCCAAAAGAGAAGTAATCGAGTCACTAGGTTATCATGAGTCTTGTGAACCCTTGTACCTTTGATTCAGGACGAAGTTAAATGTAAGAGCCTCCCAACAATCAAAGCTATGAAATGGGCCAGGCATCATTGCGCTCTACGGATTCACCTCGCTATGCCTGGTATAGATAACCCTTCCGACGATGTGAGTGTGAGAACGTCTGCTGACATTTCTATAGCTGAAACTAGACATTTAAGACTTCTGACGTTCAAATAACGCTTTACAGCAATATTACTACGACGACCTGTCACCGATTGAAACGGAGTTTTCCGCTGAAATATTCGAAGGAGCGGAACTCGTACGATTTTGGGTGGAAATTAGCACAATACGTAGTCTTGAGGTATGTTTCTTAATGGGATAAAAGTTAAGCGTAGGAAATCCTACTATTTCTAAACCACTAAGAGTGTCTGTTGGTTTGTCGGTCTGTGTTCGATTGAAAATTCAAAACCTCTGTTCCCGAAGAACTAGAGCGTTCAGACTTGATAGGAGGAGTACAGGCGGGAGGTTAAGGGCATTAATGGTAGGTGCTAAAAAGTGAATGAACTGGATCCCCGCCCACGGGGATAGGGCGGAGCGCGTGTAGAACGAGCTAATCCAAATAAATCTGGACAGTCAAGAAAAAAAGAGAGAAATGACCCGAGTTGCTCAAACGACACAAGTTGAAGAAGACTCCCCTCATGACGGGCGAGGCGCTCGTGTCATGTGTGAGTGTGGTCTTTGGCCGGGAAGTGTACCTCTTGTTTTACTGTAACAGGCCGTCCGAATTTGGGAAGGACGTGGGCAATAGGCTAACTGGTATCTCCAAACAACTAGATGGATCAGATAGAAAGAATGCGAAGTTTTCATGATATTGTTGTAAATAAAACTGATCGTATGAGTGTATTTGTAGAGAATATTATCAAGCTATAGTCTCACAATGTTGGCGATTTTTGGACAAAACTCCAGTCTCGGGCGGGACTCAAATTATGCTATCTGTGCACCGTGCTCTATCCCTTGCATTACCGAGACCCCGCTTGCCGTCGCCCTAATGGCTTATATGCCATAGCTTAACGGAGGTACGGGATCGAGTCCTCCCAGACTAAAGTTTTGCCCACAAGTCGTCAGCCTTGTAAGTCTTTCGGAACGCGTACGAAATAACAACAGTTGTCAAAACATCAAACCATCAAACTGTAGCTATATATCACAGACGAAGTGGTATACTGGTAAATGACGCATTATCGCACACGTATGTGTGGGATCCTGATTTTTAAAGATATACCCACCCAGGCCAGCCGGGCCTCCCATCCCAGTGGAATGGAACAGCGTCATTGAGTCGACGGACCCGACCGGGAGGATAACCTTTATAGCATTGTATTTAGTATGAATATATCTTAGTGGTTGTTTTTGGTGAGGAGCAAATATGACGTCAATTACTCTGTTCAGCTAGCACACGAAGTCGTTCGATTCTCGTCAGTGATGCGCTCTGAAGCTGCGACGTATAGACC